GAAATAATAATACGAAGGATAAATAACGTATTTATGGAATTGTATCGTGGTTTATGGTGGTAAACAATCCCTCAGACAGCCGGCAGCAGGAAATTAAGATGTTTGGGGGGCGGGGGGAGAAGGAGAAGAAGAGAGGGATGCCCTCAGGTGAAGTTTGAGCTGAGCTGAGGGGGTTGGGGTGGAGGGACTGAAGGTGAGTGGGCTGCCGAGGGGCTTCCTGGGCAGGGGGCTTTCCTGCCGGGGGAGGGGGCTGGGAGGGCAGCTCCGTGGGGCACCTGTGTGTGGAGGAGGTAGCTGTCCTAGGTGGGCTTCACCAGACAGGAACACCAAGCAGGGAGGGGCATGATGTTTCGGAGGGTTACGCCGTGCAGGAATGGGGAGGATATAGGATTGGACCGAGTAGAAGTTGAGCCAGAATGCCCAAGGCTTTGGACTCCTAGTGGCCACTCTCTACAGCCAAGGGCGGCTGCTACAGCACCAGGGAGCAAGCCTGCCTTGGAGGGTGCAGTGGGACACCTTCATGTCCACCGCGGTGGCAGGCATTGGGGGATGTCCAGGATACAGTCCAATCTGGAACAGGGCCTTTGAAAGGAGAGGCAAGTTATGTGGAAATTTCTCTGAACAGATTGGATATTCCTCCCTGAGCCTCTAGCTGGTGCCAAGCTGGAGGGATGGGTGGGGTCAGAGGTGCAGAGGAAGTTGGCAGGAAGAAGGGACGGGGACCTGGCCCTGCTGCCAGGCTGGGTGGGAATTGCCAGAGTTTTCCTCTTGCATTTCCGTAGCCGTCCCTCTTCCCGTCAATGGTGCTGAGACTGGAGGTTTAACCCGTGACGCTGTCAGCCGGCTGGGTCCTCATCCGATCATGTGCTTGACACCGTCTCAGGGCTTTACACACATTGTCTGTTTTGTAGAGGAGGAAACTGTGACTTGGAGGCTGAATAACTTGCGGAGGGACAGCAGCAAAGGTGTGGCCACGTCAGCCCCGCTTAAAGTCCATTTCCTGCTGCAGACTCAAGGTTTCGGTGGGAGCCAAAATGACGCCAACATCGAATGCTGAGGGTCGCCAAGTCCTTGCACCTGATTCCAAAGGCCACAGACCTCTGCAGGCGCCAGCCCCAGTCTGTGGACGGGGAGCCAGGCCTGGGGCCTGGAGGCAGAAGCCTCTGAGGACAAGCGTGTCACTGAGGCCTGGGCCTGCTGCTGGCCAGCCCTGGGGCCCTGTGCTGCAGCCAAATGGCCCCGTACAGGGAAACCTGCTGTGGCCGTGGGCCCTGTTTGGGTGCCTGCCACTGCCTGGCAGGTGGCTACCTGGCATCGGCCTGGCCCAGCAGAAGCTCCCACTGGGTGGCTCTTGTTCCCATCAGAAAATTCTAGATCCATGCAAGCTTATAAATAAGCAGTGCTCACCTCGCTGGTGCCTTATGTGGGCTTTAAATTCATTAGTCCTTTTTATCGTTTTGTAGGCAGCAGATCGCTAACTCACAAAGCACGTGTCCATCTCCCCAGAGCGGCTCCCCTGTCTGGCTGCCGGGCAGATGCAACTCTTACCTGGCTGGGTGCCCAAGAGCAAGAGGAACTGAGTGCTGGGTGGCCAGATTTGGGCAACTCTTCCCTCCCAGATCCTGGTCACCTCCCATTCGTACGATGCATGTTTCTTGAGCACTTACTACGTGCCACTATGCAATGCCCCCTGGATAGAGCCACAGACAGAACTCCTGCCTGCCCAAGTGATTCTAGAACTAACTCTAGCTTTGCAATCTTGCTAAGCAGTTCAGAGCCCTGGGTGGATGCCTGCACAGTTGACATTCACAGAGCCTCAGTTTCCACATCTGTAAGGTGGCAGGGATCTCCGGTGGTCGGCCATCCACAAGCTTGTGGGAAAACGGAGCAGCCTATGTGTGGCCGGGGCCCCCACTCTTGCTTTCCAATGCAGCGATGTGACTGTCACCAGCGATGGCATTTGTTGCCGTTTCCTCCTTGTCAGCGCTGGCAGGTTGCGCAGAGATCTCCTGCTGGGCACAGTGTTTAGTATTGGAGTCAGACAACCGATTTGCATTTTATTCTTTTTAAAAATGAGAATCTTCCCTCACCACCTCCATGCCAGAGAGACAGGTGCTGCCTGCCAGGGATGGTGGGCAGGGACCAAGGCCCCCTTGGGGCTCTGGAGTCGTCCAGCCCCAGGCTTTGGTGAGCTCCTGGTGCCGGCACACCCATGTCCTCCCTCACTGGCCAGCCAGGCCCCCTCTGGGCAGAGATGTGTCTTGCCAAGCAGGGCAGGGTGTGGGTACAAGCAGAGAGTCCCTGACCCCAGACGGCGTAGAACGAAGCTCAGTTGAGAGCACAGATAAAAGAATGAATGGAAAAGCCGTGCTCACAGAGCAGCCGACCAGCAGGTCCTGGTGGGAGCAGGCACTGCCTTTTATGCAGAGCCTGACGTCACCCAGAGAGAGCTGGAGGGAGCCTGAGCTGACCCCCTGCCCAGCCAGGCAGCCCTCACCCAGATGCTGCCAGGGAGGGGACCCCCACCCCAGTGCCAGCCCCTCTGTGTGGGTTTTGTTGTTGAACCTACTCTCCCCATCACAAGTCTACGCAGCAGCTTTAACAGAGGCCCTGGAGTCTCCTGTGTGGCTCTAACCCAATGTCACCACCAGTGTGAATTTAGGGCACAGTGCTGAGCCTGTCTCCATTTTCCCATCTGTAAAATGGAGATAGTGACAACATGGACCGCGGGGTGCTTTGGGTTAATGAGCACCAGGTTAACGAGCAATCATCCAGGTTCCAGTGGAAAATTGGGAGTATCAGTCTTCCCCCATCCTGCCCTCTGAACTCACAGAGCCAAATGGGATCAGAGTCTTCGAGGCCCAATAACGCTACAGCAAATCAGCAAACTCTGGCCTGGGGCCGAATCCAGTCCTACTGCACCCGCTTTTGTAAATAAAGCTTTATTGGAACACAGCCACACTTACTCATTTACCTGCTGTTTGTGGCTTTCGCACAATAGTGGCGGTGGAGTGGTTGCAACAGAGACTGGGGCACAAAGCCCAAAATGTTTGCTATCTGGACCTTTAAAGAAAGCCTTTGCAGACCCCTGCTGTAAAGCCCAGAGCTCCCTGAAAACGCCGGAGAGGAGAACGCTCCCAGGGCCAAAGTCAGGGTCTTCTACCCTCTTCTCTCCAAGTCTAGACCTTGGACTCTGCCTGGGGGAGACCTGAGCCCTCCAAGCAGGCTCCGGGCTCACTGCCTTAAACAGTCGGCTGCCCCAAAGGGTCGCTGCCCGCCTCTCAGACCTGTCCTTCCTGGACCAGAGAGCTGTGACCAGGAGGTGAGGAGTGGTGGCCTTCAGGCTGGCTGAGGGAAGTAAGGCCTGGCCTGGCCCCAAGTGTGTGTACCAGGCTGGGATGTGGCCCCACTGATGTCAGTATCCTCCCATCCGGGCCCCGCTTCTCCTCCTTAGGAGGGGGTCCAGATTCTTTCCAAGCACACTCCTGATCGGGAGGTCCCAGAAGGTTCTCGTCTGAAGAGGTAAGAGGAAGAGGGCCTTGTGTGTCTGAAACATCGTAAGGGCTCAAGCAATGCTAGCTATTATTAACTATTATAAATCCAAGCTTCTCCTGCTGCTTCTACTTGCTCGTCCTAACACAACCTTCTGACCATTCAGAATAAATCGACTCCCTTTTCCATAGGACAAACTTTAAAAAGTATTTGAAGATCCTTGCCTCACTAAGTGGGAGAGTGGCAACTCCGCCCCGCCAAGTTCTAGCAGTTCCCATCGCGTGGAGCCACCTCCCAGTAAGCGACGTTTCGTTGTCTCAGAGTTGAGCCTATTTGCTGTCCAACAATGTGTAAATAAGCCTAAAGTATATGTAGTAATCCTGCAAACCGCAATACTGCATTAGAACACCGTGCTCCTGGAACTTTCCGGTTACGTGGAAAGGCAGCACCCGGCGGAGTGTTTCAGTTCTCAGCTGGTCTTGGCCACGCTGGCGGTGGTGTGGGTGAAAGAGGAAGCAGATCGAAGTGGGCGTCAGAGTAATTCGTTGAATCACAGTCACGGCTTCTCTTTAGCTGTGATTATGCATGTACTCATGGGACTTAAGGGAGTCACCTGCCTCACCCTGAGCCTCAGGTGTGACATGGAAATAACACCACCCACCTGTGGGATCCCACGGAACCCCCTGCAAACGTGGTCCTGGCCTCCTGGCCACACGGGGTAGGGACGGAGCGTGTTAGACTCAGCCGCACCTGGGCCTGGTCTCTGCATCATCCAGTCCACGCAGCACTTGGTGCGTATCTTTGATAAACGGCTGCACTTTTGCATTCTGATGGGTAACAGAAGCAACCCCTCAGAGGCCCTTGAGAAGCCCCAAGCCCCACTCGAATGGGAGAAGAAAGTGTTTCCAATGAGAGGAAAAACACTGTTAGGAAAAAAAAAATTCAGGCAGTAATTGGAAGGGGAAAAGTGGGGACCGGGGAAGCTTGTTCTTACAGATAGGAGATTGGGCTTGACTGGGCCTGGAGATCAGACCAAACCAGCCGCACCCCTGGAGTTGGAGGAAGCAGAAGGGGTCTAGGGAGCTGGAAGCAAGAGGCATTCTCAAGTGAGGGGTCAGCATTCTTGGATATCGGAAGAGAGAGGGCCGGGATGTGGCTAGACGCCGGTGATGTCCAGCCCTAGGTCAGCAGGTGAAACTCTCGGAAGCTTGGCCGAGCTGGCCCAGATGGACTCTGCACCCACCCCAGCTGCTTGGGGTTTCTTAGAGCCTCCAGCACACCCTCATCCTGCTCCTTTCACCCCAGCCCTGCCCCTCTCCCCCCAAACATGGCCCTGTTCTGCAGAACTGTCACTCCAATGCATCCAAGTCCCAAGGATGTCTGGCGTGAAAGTGCGGATGCCAATTCCGCATTCCAGGGTGGGGCTGGGATTCTGTGTACCCAACAAGCTTCTAGGTGATGCCGGAACTGTGGGTGTGGGGGCCACTTCAAGGAATGACCAAGGGGATGGCAGGGGCCTGCTCCTAAGGGTTCAAGTTCTGAGTGTCCAGCTTACTGGCTCTGTGACCCTGAGCCAGTAGCCTAACCTCTCTGAGACTCAGTTTCTGCATCTGTCAAAGGGGGATTAAAAACATCATCACAGGATGGCTGGGAAGATTTGGGGATGTGAGTTAAATGCCTTGAGTTATTTGGGAAATCCTAAACACACAATAAATAAGAGGGTTTAAGTTATTACTACTGGCGCACTGTGCAGAGGCCACAGACTTATTAGGAAGGCCAGGGAAGGAGGAGAAAAGCAGGTTCCTAAGGCTGCTGCCTCAGGCGTCACCTGAGCCCTGGGTGGTGCCCCTGATGGCAGGCAGGCTGCCCTCGGTGGAACCGCAGGATCTGGCCTTCCCTGCACCTGTGCCAGGAGGGACAGAGCCCGGCAGCAGGTCCGAGGGAGGTGGCACAGGTGCAGGCGTGAGGGAGGAGGGAAGCTGTGCCAGGTGGCCAGGACTCCCCACCCCGCTCACCACACCCCTGCTTAAAAGGTGGATTTCCTGGGACTAGATAAGAGATGGGGCCTGCCGGGGAGAAGAGGGGAGTATTTCATGCATTTATTTATTTACCTGAAAGGTGAACGGCATTATCACTGTGAGCACCTGAGACTCCCAGAGGTAAGTGTCCGCCCAGTCGAGCCTGCACTCTGTCACGACACATTTAACGCTATGTCATTTGGAGTGTGAGCGTAAGAGTGTGTATTTGTGGAGGGGCAACCTGGATAGATAGCGGACATGCTAGCCTGAGGGCTGAATACAGATGGGGAAAAAGCCAGATGAATCCACCCAGAGGCGGGTCTGGCCAGTTCCAGCAAAGCCCCTGCCATTATCTGGCCATCCATAGGGCGGGATCTCTCAAGCTGGGCTCTGTTGTCATATGGAGTGGGATGAATCGTGTTGTGAGGCTGCCCTGGGCACTGTCTGTCAGATACCGGCCTCTGTCCACTGCATGCCAGGAGCATGTCCCCACCCCATGGTGACAATGGGAAAATGTCTCCAGACGTTGCCAGAAGTCCCCTATGGGTGGAGTCGCCCCCCGGGAGAACCACTGCTGTAGAGTCTCAATACATCCTCTCTTGGGACCCAGATAGCAGTGGGGGAGGGGGGAGGCGGGCGGACGAGCCCCGTTTCCTCTCTGCCAGCCCCCAGGAGCCGCGGCGCACAGCGTGGGGCCGGTTTCTGGCTGAGTATTCAGTGCTCAGTGCTCGCCTGCCAGCTCCCTGTCCTCCCGCTTCTTCCAGCTTTGGTCAGAGGAGGGAGCCGAGGTTGGGGCCGAGGCGTTGGGGGGCTCCACAGGCGGCAGCCTCCCTGCCACTCCCACTGCAGCATCTTCGGAAAGGGCAGGGCTGGAGTTGGCGCCGGGAGTTCTTGTTGGCGAAGCCGGGGGATGCGGGGGCTGAGTGGGGGAAGAGAATGTTATCACAGAAACCTGATTTTTCTACACACTCTATCAGCTCCCCATCTGTTCCTTGATTAAATGTATCGCTGTGCTCCCTCCCCGCATGCCCGCTGCCAGGACGTCTCCAGAGCCCTGATTACATCTGTGGAGAGAGCCTCAAACCTCGCAGACGAGCGGCCTATCGATCAGCCTGGCAGCTGACGTTTGTCTGAAAATTTGGAGGAGGGCGAGCGGAGAGCCGGCCGGGCTGGGGTCGTCAGGGGGACCTGTTACCCCAAAGGCAGGGTCCCCCACCCTCCTCGCCTCCGCCAGCCAGGGCCACTGCTTAGATTAGCATCACCTATCGATCCCTAGCACCGTGACCTTGGGCAAGCCACCTCCCTCCCCTTCCCAGCCTCAGTTTCCTTCCCATGAGCACGAGCGTGTTGGAGAAGGTGATTTCAGGGTCCACGACCTTGTGACTCGCAGGCGGGGGCCACAGGCCAGCTGCCGGTGGCCCCGGGGAGCTTGTTAGGAATGCAGGCTCTCAGGCCCAGCCCAGGCCCGCGGAATCCGAATCTGCCTTTTAACAAGCTCCCCCGGCGCCTCCCGCTCACATTACAGCCCGAGAAGCTCGTCCACGCTTCCGCTCATTTGGCTACTTCAGAGATGAACATGTATAAGAAACCTCTCAAAGGGAATGATTCACCACCTTCGCTGGCCTCGGAAAACTTTTACAGATTTTCTTCCTTCCCCGAGAACATTAACCCTGAAAAGGAGCCAGCTCTGATATGCCCGCCACCTCCCGTGGTTTGCGCCCCAACATGGAAAGATCTTTATTCGGTGAGCCACACGGCAAGCCTGGGGATGAAACGACAAGCAGGACCCCCTTCCTGCCCTCAGGGAACTGCCTCTCTAGTAGGAGCCCCGGCCTCCCTCCCTCTAGGCTGAAAAGATGCGGGAGGGAAAGGCTGGTGGCTTGGGCTTAGTGCCAAGCATCGCGCTCCCGGCGTGGGCGTCTGAGCAAATTCCCGGGAACAGCACCAGCCTCTCGTGACTCTCTGTGTTAGTTTCCCGAGGCTGCTATAACAAATTACCAGAAACTGGGTGGCTTGAAACAACATAAATTAATTCTCTCCATAGTTCCGGAGGCCAGAAGTCTGAGATCCAGGTGCTGGCAGGGCCGTCCTCCCTGCAGAGGCTCCAGGGGAGGGTCCTTCCTGCCTCTTCCAGCTCACGGCACCTGTCGGCAACCCTTGGCTCGTGGCAGCAGTAGTCACATTGTCTCCTTCTCTTCTGAGGCCACTTGCAACGGCATTTAGGATCCACCTGGATAAGCCAGGATCATCTCATCTCAAAATCCTTAATTACATCTATAAACAACTTTCCCCCCCCCCAAACAAGGTCATGTTCACAAGTCCCGGGGATTTGATGTGGCTGTTTTGGGGGTGCTGTTTTTCAGCCTATTCCAATCAAGACGTGGCCTCACTGGGTGAGTTACTTATGGGGTGGCTGAGCATCAGTGTCCTCCCCTGGAAATTGGGACAATAATCCTCCTAGGCTGGTTTTGTGCTTGAGTGTGTGCAGCAGCACCTGGAGGGCTTGCTAAACACAACCAGGGATGGGGGTGCGGGGGGATAGGGTGGTCTCTAATCCAGTGGGTCTGGGCAGGGCCTTAAGAGTGCGTTTCTAACAAGTTCCCAGGTGAGGCTCAGAGCCGCAGGATTGAACAAAGTGATGTGTCTACAGTGCTCGACAAGGTCCCCAGCCAAAATAGATACTGAATAGATAAATGCTGGTGAACAACCAACAAAAATGCCACCCGCCACAGCCACTTGGCTAATCAGAAGACAGCAGAGCAGAGGGGCCGGTCTCCCGTTAAAAGGTGAGGGCGGGGCTGTGTCTGTCCACGTCCTCTGTCCGAAGCCTGCTGCTTGGGGCGCGGCCCTGTGCCCACCGTTATGGCCACTAGCCGGGCACTGCGCCGCGCTGGGCCGCACCTCTCCCCGCCCTCAGCTGTGTCAAGGGGCTTCTCGAGAAGCACTCCCATGTAAATTAACAGTGACCAAAGATGCGTGGGCCACGTGCATAGGAAGGTACACAAATCATCCTGAGGAGAGGGTGACAAGCCCTTCCGAATAAGGCCTGGGGGGCCGTGGGGTTGCCCGGTCAGGAGCCGGGAGGACAGTCAGAACCAGAGCTCTGCAGGGAGTGGCGCTGCAGGCAGAGGGAGCAGCACCTGCGGCCCTGGGCAACATCAGCACACCTCGGTCACCGTATCCAAGACCTGGGGCCCAGGGGAGATGGGCTGGGGACCGCAGCCGAGGCCGGGAAGAGAAGAGCCTGCCGTGCCTGACTCCAGAGTGACGAGCTGCATCTCGCAGGTAATGTGAATGACATTACAGGCCTTTTCCTCGGGAGAGTGACTCGTTTAGCTTTGTGTGTGTGTGTCAGGAGGAAGATTGCCCAGTGGCCGTGCAGGGGTTGGATCGGATGAGGAAGAGACCGGACACAGGAAGATCGTTTAGGCCGGCTGGTAAAACAATTCAGGCAACAGATGACGAGGGCCTGGGCTGAAGCTCAGGCGGGCGCGAGGCTGGCTTGATGGATGAAGGCGTGAGCCAACAGATGAGCAAATCATCAGTTAAGCCAGCTTCATCCCGTCTCGGAAGAGATGGACTCGGAGTGCAGTGGCAGCGATGCCTGGTGTCCTTGGGCGACGTACAGAAGGGGCCTGGCTCTGCCTTCCTGGGCACCTCTGCTCTCCCTCTGTCCCCGTGGGGGATGGCACCTCCCCTGCAATTACCCGGTGCAGGCTCTGCTCAGCATCCCCCAAATGCTACTAAACTGGCTAATTTCTGTGGGGATTTTTCTTTAAGCCAGCATGACACAGGCTTTAAATCAATTTGAAATCCGTTGTCTACAGATCCGCATGGAGAGGGTCCTCGGAGGAGCCACCAATTATTCTCATCTGTCAGTGAGGACGGGGAGATTGTGCCAGGCATGGGCTGCAGTGGGGACACTCGGGTTTGGATCATGGGGAAAGAGTCAGGGGCCCAAGGCCACACCAGGCAGGCAGGATGCTGAAGCCTTGTGCATGCTGCCCAGGCTGCAAGGCGAGGGGCTCCCAGCCTGGGTCTGAGTGAGAGACAGAAGGAAGGTGCAGTCGTCAGTTAAAAGGACTGGGTGAGGTCTGGGGACGCCAAGGTCCCCAGTGAGTTCAAGGACTTTGGCCTTTGCTCTCTGGTTCACTCAAGCCATTAAATGCGTGAAGTTGATGAAGTCGGGAAGGAAAGGGCAGGGTCTGGGCGGGCTGGTGCTGGTGGTGGGTAGAGGGAAGGTCAAAGGGACTCATTAGCAGCCATTTGCAGCCTGCTTTGGAGCTCAGGATCACGGAGAGTATTTATGAATAAAATCAATCTTGCCCCTGATGCAGGGAGACAAGCCAAATTCGCCGGCTCTGTCTTCCTGTCCAAATGGCTCTCTTCTCCTTCAGAATATTGCTTTGTAATAGAGCCCCTCCTCCCATCCTCCCCCCACCAGGGACGTTTCCAATTTATCAGCCCTAAGTGGAGGACGTGGGGGAGTGGCCGACATGGCCCTGCCCTGGCGGGACCACTAGGAGCGCCAGGGAGGAGGTGAGGGAAAAGGCTTCGATGAAGGCAGCCGGTCCTTCTGGGCTTTCCCCACTGTGGGTGTTAGGTTTGTTCCAGGTGGGAACCAGAAAAGTAAGTGTAGGACAGACTGGGGTTAATGCAAAACATAGGCTTGGAAAACAGTAGCCACAGGAGTCAAAATAAACAGCATTTTGCTAGACATGAGGCTTCGTGTGTCTCTTTCTCTCTCTCCGCTCCGGACCTAACATTGGGTGCCGAAACCCGGGGGGCACACCGGGTGGACACGACCTCCGGGTCTCTAGCAGGCAGGGCTTGCAACTGGGGAAGCAGTAGGCAGCTCGTCCTGGCCTAACTCCTGAATCCTGCCTTCCTCTGAGTCCCTGGGTCATCGGCAAGGTTCCACGGATCTTCCCTCTGAGCCATGCAGGCGTCCCTCTCTAACCTGTCTCTGATCCTGGAGTGTAGGCAGCTCAGCCGTGGGAAGGTAATTGTCCACTCGGCCCCTCCTGAACCAAGCAGAGAGACAGACACCAGACGGGGACTTGGACCTTCCCTTTGCTGACCTTCACAATTTCACGTTTCGTCCCCGGGGAATGAATGCTCGCAAACTCACTCTGGGGTTCCTCCTATCTCTCACGCTCTCGTCCCCTAGAAATCCCATGGGCCTTCCTTCGCTGACCTTCAAATCTACATCCTGGAGACAGATATCCTGTTCCCGGTGAGCAGGAGCTCACAAGCTCGTTCTCGTTTCCCTGATCCCTCTCATTCTTGTCTACTGGTCTCGACTCAAAAGTCCTGCGGGTGAGCCGGAGGACTCTCGGCCCCTGGGACCCTCGTTGGATACAGGGATGCCTACTGCTCTCCTCACTCCTACGCCATCCCTCATTCTAGGGACACCTAGAATTGTGTAGACTCAGCCTCGTGTGACCCCTACTCATTTCCAGGAACATGGGAAACTCTCAGTCTACTTCTCTTCTGAAAACACTAGGTCTCACTACAATTTTTGTCACCGCAATAGCAAATGGTCTGAGATTCCCTGTGTCCAAGCCTTTTTTACCCTCTACTTTCACTCTGTATGAACTGTAATCCAGCTCAAATCTTCCTGCTACACTCTAGGCCTTTCCACCTTCCTGCCCCTCTACTCTGGACCAAATTAAAACCTCAGATCCTGACCCTTGCAATGTCAGCCCTCCCCCATACAGGTCTCCCCAACCAGAACTCCCTCAGCCTAACCCTCAACCTGCTCCCTGCCCTCGTCCCAGCCCCCTACTGCTCACTCTCCCTCTGCTCAAGTCCTGGGGGCTGGGGCGGAAGGCATCATGTGGGTACATGTCCCTTTTATTTAACAGAATCTATAATCTGACCTGGCATGACCTCTACACTATTCTTTCCTCTACTCTATCCCCTGAGAAGGAGATGGTTTGGCTTAACGCCCAGGCATATGCCATAAAACCCATAGTCGTACCCCTGCCCAGCCAGTGAGGACAGTTACTGTCCCTAAAACAGGCCCATTATTGGATTATCAAGTAGGAATTCCTGAGGGAACTTTACTCCTCAATATGCATTTTATCTCCCAGTCCAAATCTGACATCAGGCACAGGCTCCAAAAAATTAGATGAAGGCCCTAAACCCCACAAAAAAAAATCTCCTAAACCTGGCCTTCAAGGTCTTTAATAACCAAGATGGGGAGAGGCGCAGGAAAAAGAGAAACAGAAAAAAGCTTTTTAAATCGTGGTTGCCTTTTAAAGGAGCTATTCCAAAGAGTCACTCAAAAAGGCTGCAGGCAAGTAGACAACAAGGCCACACCCTTCTGTAGGAACTGAGCCCGGGGCCTCCACTACCACTCTGGGTCCCTAGAGTAAAATGTCCCAGGAAATGTGTTCCGCCAGGACCGTGTCCCCTCTAATAAAAGAAGGTCACTGGAAAAGCTGGTGCCTTCTTCTTAAACTGGGAATCTTAAGATGGGAAATGCTCTTCTTAAAATGGAAAGATGGCACCACCATTCTGGAACTGGCTGCCCCTCCCTGAACAGGCATCCTCCACACCACCCACCCCCTGAAACTGCTTCAGTCTGACAGCACACGTCAGGCTTCGGAACAGACTGAACTTCGACACACCGGGATGACCGAGCCTTAGGTGACTCCCTGACACAGGTGAAAACACTGGAGCCACATCCTCTGCTCCTCCTGAGTTTTCAGGGCCTCTCTTTCCCTCTCCTACTCTTATCATCAGAGTAAAAGGTAAAATACAACCCCCCCACCCCTGTATTCCAGAGCTTTTCTGTCTGCTGGGAGATAAAGCATTTGCCCAGCCCTTTTGTACTTCCCAATTAACCCCCACTGGGAGAAGAGCTTATGGCTTCCTTTCCCTGACTTATACAAAAAACTTAACTGCAACTTTACATGCAACTTGTCCTTGGTGTGCTCTGAGCTTTCAAACTATAAAACTTTCTGCCTTGATTCACCTAAAATTGTCTACTTCTATGTCTGCATATTTACGTGTCCATATATGTCATGTGTGTGCAATGTTTCACTACCAAGATATGTAAAAGAGCTCTGATTAATTGGCTTAAAGAAAAACACACCACGTTTTGAAAGAACTCAAATGCCTTTTTACTTCACGTGACCTTGGTCACCTTTGATAAACTAGCTTTAAAAATTGTTATTAAAGTTTATAAAATTGTAAAAAACTGATTTCAGGAGATAAAAATTAGTCAGTTCCATTGGATTCCCTCCTCTTCCTCCACCACCCCCACCTTTCACCCGCCGGGAAAACTCACTGGACCGCTCCTTAAAGGGACCGCAGCACTTACAGCCCAAAGACTAGATTTTACTCAAAAATTTCCCAGAACAAATTAAACCTCCTTCAACCTTTTAAATAATTCTCTCACGGCTTCCACCACCACAGCTAAGCTTCTGGAAATTCCGTCCGAGAGCCATCTCTCAGAACTCAAACCTACAGGCCCTCCAGAGCCTGCTCCCACCATGGCGAGCTCCCTGGAAGTCCAGCCCACCGCGGACACCAGGCTGGGTGACATGCTGTGGTCTACATGGCTCCGTATCGTGCTTCGCCTCCTCTGTGTACTTCTCGTGCCTCTCTATGAATGCCTCCCGAGGCCGACTTACATGCTAGGCTGGTCAGTCCTTTGCCCACACTGGAAACCCTAATAATAATAACCTCACTTTCCATCCCCGCACTGTGCGTCATGCCCTGTGACATCTCCATCTGCCTGCAGTCCAAAAAGAACCTCTCCCGCCTTCTCAAACTATGAGCTCTTCTCACCATGCGTGATCTTAAACTCTTACCTAAGGCCCCTAGTGGCTCTACTTTCAACTCTCATTTTCAAACCCTACATTCACCACTACCTAGTAACATTCAGGCCCTAACTATTTGTCTCCAGTAAAACTCCATCCTGCCTCTCTTCTAACTTCTAGACCATCCATTTTCAACTCTCTTCCTTTTAATAGATGAACTCCAAAAAAAAAAAAAAAGGTTTTACGGCCCTCCCCAGCTTTGAAGAAGCTACAGAAGAAAGATCTCCGCCTGTTTCCCAATTTCTGAGTTCATTTTACATAGAAATTTAATTTTAACAACAAAAAGGGGAAATGTTAGGGTGGCCTTGAATCTCCCAAATTTCTAATGACAGCTAAAAATCAATTCTGAGCTCTCCTTACTCTTTGCTCTCTCTCTCCCAAACTAGCAGGCAACCTGCTGGGACTCGGTTTTTGCAAACACCTAAAAGAGCCCAGAAAATAAATGTAAATCTTTCTCTTTGCAATTCCCCAGCTCACAGCTTTTAGAAATTATTTTAGGGCCTTAAGGTGTTCCCGGGAAAGCCCCTGGACAGACTGCAGGGGGGTGAACTCCAGGCCTTTGTTTCCTGCCCAAAACCAAACGTCAGGGGCAAAGATCACAGCCCCTGCAGTGGGCCTGACTGCTGTTTCAAAGACAACCAAATCTCCAGGAACAGAAAAAACAAAAAGTCAGAAAGACAACTACACTCACTTCCCAGTCTTTCTAATTTTTCATTTTTACCCTTTTCCCATACCTTACCCTTCCTTTTCTTATAGGTATATAACAAAAAGGGTGGAATGTTAGGTTTGTTCCAGGTGGGAACCAGAAAAGTGTGTAGAGGACAGAATGTTAATCAAAAACTTAGGCTTGTAAAACAATAGCCTCAGGAGTCTGGAGAGTCCTGGACTTTGTAAATCTAACGGACGGCTGCAGCCAGCACTCCTCCCCGCTCCCTGACAGAGACGAAGTTCATCCCTCCCCAGCTCTCCTGGCAAGGACACGCCAGAGCTGAAGGATGGATGTGACTGGGGCAGGGGCCTCAGGAATTGGTTTATTTGCAAAAGAATTAATTACAAACAGCTGTTTTGGCCCCCTGACTCCCCCAGAAAAAATCCAGTGTAAAACCCAAGGCTCTCCCCTTTTCTCTCGTGGACGCTTTATCGCCTCCACCCGTCTGGGCCCAGATGCTCAAAATAAACAGCATTTTGCTACACACGAGACTTCGCGTGTCCCTCTCAGCTCCAGACCTAACAGTGGGCAGCGTTGCAAGGTGCAGCTCCCCTCCACCCACTGCTCAGCACAAGGGAGGGACCTTCCTCTCCTGACTCGGACAGGATAGCCAGGGTCAGTCAGGTGACCCAGCTTGACCAATCCCAGCAGCCGGGACCCAGTCAGGTGATCCCATGTGGCCAATCCTGACAGCCAGAGTCCAGTCAGGTGAGCCAGTGTGGCCAATCCTGACAGGCAGAGTCCAGTGAGTGAGGTGACTGGCTTGGCCAATCTCAGCAGCCAGCACCCAGTCAGGCGAGCCAGTGTGGCCAATCCTGACAGGCGTAGTCCAGTGAGGTGACTGGCTGAGCCAATCCCAGCAGCCAGCACCCAGTCAGGCGAGCCTGTGTGGCCAATCCTGACAGGCAGAGTCCAGTGAGTGAGGTGACTGGCTGAGCCAATCCCAGCAGCCAGCACCCAGTCAGGCGAGCCAGTGTGGCCAATCCTGACAGGCAGAGTCCAGTGAGTGAGGTGACTGGCTGAGCCAATCCCAGCAGCCAGCACCCGGTCAGGTGAGCCAGTGTGGCCAATCCTGACAGGCATAGTCCAGTGAGGTGACTGGCTTAGCCAATCCCAGCAGCCAGCACCCAGTCAGG